TTATTTTTATTACTTAATGAAGTCATTAAATGCATTTATGACTTGGATAAGTCTTATCCATTAAGATAAGTTAACCTTATCTTTCATTTTAATTTTTTTTTTGAGATGTTACATTCTTCAGTGATAAACTCCAAAAAATTGATCATGATAACTTTACTTCAAAAAGGTATGATAAATTCTAAGAAGAAGATATTAGAAAGGAGTTGTTAGCTAAAACAACCACAATTAGTCTTTAGGTAAGACTTGACAAAACTTCCTATTTACAACAAAACAGTACAAGACCTACTTCTCCACAACCCATGAGTCTTGCAGGAAGCGATGAAGACGCCTTGGAAGATTTTTAGGAGCATCTCATGACATAAAAAATATCAAAAGATGACAAAGGTTAATGACAGATAAGGATATCTTGCTACCTTGTCAAGGTTCCTCTACTGTTACACGTTGTTAGACCCTCTAAGTCTTGCATGTTAATGACGGAAAGATTAAATCAATCTTTTAATAACAAGTTGGTAGAAATCTTTCTACAAAAATTAAATAAAAAGATGATTATTTTGTAATAGTGAAATATTAGCCGTAAATTGGTAGAAATTCTTCTATCAAATTAAAAAATTTAATTTACTATTCAAATTTTTGTTTTTTAGTGTCGGTAGAATAACCACCATAAACTCTTCTTTTCAATTTTCAAAGACCCATAAATCTAGATGTGGGTCCCATATTTACAATTTTATATTCAATTATTTAATGATATTTTACAAAACCATACTTCATTTTTTCTATATAAGGACCTCATAAGTCCCTTATGCTGGGCAGAAGTTCTTACACACAACTCTTCCCCCTTTCTCTCTACTCTCTCCATTTTCTCTCCTCTTTCTCTCTACCCCTCTCATATGTAAATTTTCTCCATCAATAAAAGAAGAAATTCATATCTTCCCCTCTCCTTCCTCTTCCCCCTCCATCTACGTAAGTTTTCTTTATTTATCTTTCATGGAGTAGTTTTCTTTTAAGGACGTCCTCGGATGCCTTAAGTAGTATTTATTAAAAGATTCGATAATCATTTAAAGACTTAAAAATTTTGTATAGCTTTTATGTTCATATAAGCTTATGAGAAGATGTCTAACCGGCTCTGCCAGATTCAGTCATCTCATAATCTTATCATGGACTTGTTTATTTTTTTGTCTTTACTTTTTTGTCTTTATTTTTCTTGTTCATGTAAGTTTATGAGGAGATGTCTAACCGGCTCTACCAGATTCAACATCTCATAATCTTATATTAAACTTTCTAGCTATAACCTACTTTATCTCAGACAATCATCATTTTAGCTAGCCTGGTTTCAGGTTCTTTGCAAGCTAAGTAGTCACGTTGACTAACAGAAGAGATAAAGAGTTATAACTTGTTCATTTTCTTCTTCTTCTGCTCTAATACCAGAAAAGAGGGGGGGGGGGGGGAAGAAGAAGAAACTGAACAAGTTATAACTCTTTATCTCTTCTATTAGTCAACGTGGCTACTTAGCTTGCAAAGAACCTAAAACCAGGCTAGCTAAAATGATGACTGTCCGAGATAACGTCGATTATAGCTAGAAAGTTCAATATAAGATTATGAGATGTTGAATCTAGCAGAGCCGGTTAGACATCTCCTCATAAGCTTACATGAACAAGAAAAATAAAGACAGAATAGTAAAGATATCAAAATAAACAAGTCCATGATAAGATTATGAGATGACTGAATATGGTAAAACCGGTTAGACATCTCCTCATAAGCTTATATGAACATAAAAGCTATACAAAATTTTTAAGCCTTTTAATGATTATTGCATCTTTTAATAAATACTACTTAAGGAATCCGAGAACGCCCTTCAAAGAAAACTACTCCATGAAAGATAAATAAAGAAAACTTACTTAGATGAAGGAGGAAGAGAAAGGAGAGGGGGAGATATGAATTTCTTCTTTTATTGATGGAGAAAATTTACATATGAGACGGGTAGAGAGAAGGAGTAGAGAAAAGGGAGAGAGTAGAGAGAAAGATGGGGAAGACTTGTGTGTAAGAACTTCTGCCCAGCATAAGGGACTTATGAGGTCCTTATATAGAAAAAAATGAAGTATGGTTTTGTAAAATATCATTAAATAATTGAATATAAAATTGTAAATATGAGACTCACATATAGACTTATGGGTCTTTAAAAATTGAAAAGAATAGTTTACGGTGACTATTTTATCGACATTAAAAGACAAAAATTTGAATAGTAAATTTTTTTTTTAATTTGGTAAAAGAATTTCTACCAATTTACGTCTAATATTTCCCTATTACTAAAAGACAAAATAATCATTTTTTTTTAAATTTTGGTAGAAAGACTTTTACCAACTTGTTATCAAAAGATTAATTCAATCTTTCTGTCATTAATATATAAGACTTAGAGGGTCTAACAACGTGTAACGGTAAAGGAACCTTGATAAGGTAGCAAGATATCATTATCTACCATTAACCTTTGTCAACTTTTGATATATCTTATGTCATGAGATGCTCCTAGAAATCTTTCAGACCGTCTTCATCGCTTCCTGCAAGACTCATGGGTTGTGGAGAAGCAGGTCTTGTATTGTTTTGTCATAGATAAGAAGCTTTGCCAAGTCTTACCTAAAGACTAATTGTGATTTTTTCGGCTAACAACTCCTTTCTAATATCTTCTTCTTGGAATTGATCATACATTTTTGAAGTAAAGTTATCATGATCAATTTTTTGGAGTTTATCACTGAAGAAAATGTTAGTCAATGGCTCAAAATCCATAAACAAGTGATGTTTTGTTGGACTGTATTCACCTTTTGTATTTTGGGGGTGTGTAAAGAATATCTCAATGAAATATCCTTCACTGTAGTTACACTGAAAGAACACATTTATCCAGTAGTTAATTTTTGGACCGAAAAATGGTTCTATCACTACATTTCTGAAAATGATTATTCTCTTCAAGAATCTTGAAAAAAATAAATCTTCAATTAATGTTTTGTTGATTCTAGCGGGAATACATTCTACCAAGTAAGGATTTATTCCGATGTTGTGTTGATCGAAAGATGAGGAGGAAAAGTCATCCTGGTATTGGACAATCCTCAAGTGTTATCGAAATAAAGAATCTACTGGTAGTTGGGATAACCAGTTTTGGAGTTTTCCGAGTTCTACTAACAGGGAATCTGAAGCATGTTGGTAGTTTTTTTCTTGGATTGGGCTTGGTAATGGTCCAAAAATTTTCTTTTGAATGACCCAATATAGGTCATATGTTCTTTGAAGCTTCCAAAATCCAAGGTTTTGAAATCATAGTTTATCATTTGGTGAAAATCTACGATTTTAGTTTTTAATTTTGTATTTTGTTTTTTCAAACAGGAAATGTGATTTTCAAAATCTTTTCTTTGTTGAAAAAGGGAAATTTTCAATTTCTATTTCATTTTTCTCGCAAGAGCCAAATGTTGTCTGAGTTTAATGGAACCATAAATTGAAAAATTCTCTTGTTTTGTTGGTTTTTCAAAAATGAAATTACCCACTTCTAGATGGTCCAACATGTTGTTATCACCTCCAATATAGTTGACCATTGCCTATACAGCTTCTTCAAGGTTACAAAATCCTTAAAATTTGTTATGTTTGTCATTACTTATAGCCTTCAAAAGAGAAGGATATGATAGGTAGACGTCACGCTTATCACCAGTAAAAAGACAGTAGGCCTCATTCTTGGGTTTTTTAAAAGAAACAGACAATATTTTTGAAAAGTAGTAATTTAATGTATTGATAGTATTAAGTTTTGTTGTTGGACTACTAACTCGGTGAAGAGCATCAAGTAGAACCTTTTGTTCCCTTAAAACGGGACAATTTTTGAGCAACCTGAACCCATTGGAAGAATCCTCTAGAAGAACATGGAGATGCTGTGTTCCAAACTGAATTAATTCAGTTGTTGAGGCTGGAGACTTGCCTTTATTCAATGGGTTTGTCATATCTATGTCTGTATAACTGATAGAATTCTGCAATACCTTTTTGTTGGATTTCTTATCACAAAAAGAAACTCTTGTATTCATTAGACAATATCCAAAATTATCTAATATATTTCCTAATTCATTATATTTATTATCTAGTTGGAAGTGATTTTCCTATAGATAAGGATGTATGAATTCATTTTTTGTGAAATAATTTATTAACTCATAATTTTTATGGCTTTTGTCTAAGTTGATTTCATCAAGTATATTTTATAATACTAACTACTGATAGTATTTCAGAATCAGTAGAAACATCTTTATCTATTGGAAGAAGATTCATATGACAAAATTTTATGAATTCTATCTCTTTTGGGTAAAGATTTGTAATATTAATACCCTCTCTAAAAGAAAATCCTGGCGCCAATATTTTTAAAATTGATCAAATATAAATTCATGATTTAAACCTTCAATACTCAGTATTTAAAAATTTAATTAAGTTTAATTAGGGTCTATAATATTACATAATTTTGAGAAAAAAATATTGATAATAAGAGAATAATAGAGAGAAAAACTCCCACATCTATAATATTTTTTAATATTTGGATTTTAATATAATGGAGAACAAATAGTATATATTAATCAAATTTTCATATGAGTAATAAATTACGTTAAATAAGAGTAGTAATATATTACGATATTTATTATTTATTTCTATAATTATGTAAATTAATAAATAATTTTATTTTGTTTTATTTTTCCTCATATTTGGGATTAACTCGTATGAAGCGAGTAGGAATAATACGTGTAACATCCAATGAAAAATCGACACGTAGGATCCAAAGGTTGACATTGACATGGGCATCTGCTTGTGCAGCTGCAACAGTAGGAGTAGTTGGCAGCGTGTTTGGTTTTGTTCAACACTTCAATGGCCGCTATTAATTATTCTCAACCCTCGCCGCTAAATCTCTTTTGATTCTGCTTCTCCACATTCCGCCCATAACCTAATCTCGGCTAGTCTATTTTTCCCTCTCAGCAAACACACAATCCACTGATATGATGATGATTGGGGCAAACCCCCAACCCCTCTTGCACCTTTCGCTTCTTCTTTTGGTGCTCTTTTCTTTCTCAACCGAATCCCTTCGTTTCGAACTCCAATCTGGTCACACCAAATGCATCTCCGAAGACATCAAGAGCAATTCCATGACCGTGGGCAAGTACCTCATCGTCAATCCCAACGAGGGTCAACCTCTGCCAGATTCCCACAGAGTCACTGTTCGGGTATTTTGATAAACCCCACTGCCAAATATTGAACCTTATTCGGGCCCAGTAGTGAATCGGATCGTGTTTTGTGGTTTTTGTAAATGGGTAATCGTGTTTTTTTTGTTAGGTGACTTCATCGTACGGGAACAACTATCACTACGGGGATCGCGTTCAGAAGGGGCAGTTTGCGTTCGTTGCAGCGGAGGCCGGAGATTACATGACTTGTTTTTGGGCTGTGGATCACAATCCCGTGACAACGATGACTGTGGATTTTGAGTGGAAAACGGGTGTGGCAGCCAAAGATTGGTCTAGTGTTGCTAAAAAGGGCCAAGTTGATGTGAGTAATCCGCCCCTACATGTGTCTCTTAGTTAATTTTGTTCTAGAGTATATTGTTATAGTTTCTTTGCTAAAAGGTTTGAAAAAAAAGATGAATTTGTTTTGCAAGATTTACTTGTTAGTTGCATTCCAACAAATAGTTTTCTTGGGAGAGCTTATTTGGACTGAATTCAATATTACCCTGTGGTGTTTGTCATATGTCAACATTATTTGAGGCTTGGATATCGTCAAGGGTATGTGATCTGGTTCTTGATGGTTATTATTTGAACTTGTAGAAAGTTGCAGCAGATGTGGCTGGACCTTCACACTTCTAAATCCATGGTAGTGTGACTGCAGTTGTAGTTGAGTACACCAATTTGAATCCTTGGCTAGGAGTACACTTGGTATTAGAGTGCATTTTTCAGGGAAAAGTTCAAATTAATAAAGGAGGAGCTCAAGTAGTTTTGTTTTGTGTATCATTTTTTCTTCTCTAATTTAGTACCCGGAGAAGTTGTGTCATGAGGGATCTCCTTGCAAATAACTTCGCAGAGTTGGTTTTTAACCGAAATTACATCGTTCGATCTATGTTACGGATCTCATGTTTTAGGATAAGGCTTTTGTTTGTTGTTGATTGTGTTAATCATGTACAGTCAAGGAAATTAAAAGTCGACTCTATCAGTTAATCACCTAGCATATGCAGAATATACTGAAATTAAAGGTTCACTCTTTCAGTCAATCATCTAGCTCATGCTCTGCATATAATGATAACCGTCTAGCTTATGCTCTGCATATAGTGATAGGAGGTGATTGATCTTTTATGTGATTTACTGGCTCATGCTCACCCTAATCTGATCAAGAAAGTAATGTCTGATTTGAGTTCCAGTGGTAGAGATCTGTATTAGGACTAGAGAGTAGTCTTACTGATAGATTTGTAGTTATGGTAAACTTATAGGGGATGACGCGTTCCTAATTATGGAAATCTTCTAAGTGTACAATGTGTATTTTGAACGGAAACTACATCCTTGCGAATCTGTAACTTATTTTCCCTATTTGTAAATTTTTGTTTACTTTCCATTTGTTTGATATTTAAAGTGGTAGTAAGCTCTTCTTTTTTTGCCTTTTTCTCTGTTGACAAAATTGGCTTTCTTGAATGATTGCTAAACTCTTATTTATTATTATTATTTTGATTTGTATTGTTCCTCCCCACTATCTATTTTCTGGAGTTTACTTCAATCCTGTTGGTTTCACTAAATTTGTGCCATGTTCTTGAGCAAATCTGAACCTACTCAAGGCCTTCCCATCTCATCCCACTCATTTGTCACTTAGGCATAACTGAACACATCCTCTTTGGTCTTTCAATTACATTGCAGAAGTTGTAATCTTTGCTGACATAATGTTAGATAAAAGAAAATAAAAATTCTTATATGGATTTAATTCACCTATTCCAGGTAATGGAGCTAGAACTAAAGAAGTTGCACGATACCGTTGCTTCCATTCATGAGGAGATGTTTTATCTTCGTGAAAGGTAACCATGCTTGGCTAAAAATTTTTAATTGAATATGTTGACATAGGAACTAAAACAAACCTTATTCTTATTTGAGTAAAGTCAATACTTGACGCGTGATATTGGAAAATCATTATTCTTACTATTCTTTGCTTTTTAATTTGCAGAGAAGAAGAAATGCAGGAACTGAACAGAGCAACCAACAGCAGAATGTTCTGGTTGAGTTTGCTTTCGCTCTTGGTCTGCTTATCAGTAGCAGGGTTGCAACTATGGCACTTGAAGACCTTCTTCGAGAAAAAGAAACTCATTTGAAATTGTGATAGTTTTTACATTTTTCCTATATGATCTTGTAAAATATACCAGCATTAATTTATGCAGAGGATACGCACAACGGTAGTCAGTATTAATCTCAGAAATGACATATTTTCCTTTGATAAACGCATATCAGAGTTGAGATATAGAAATGCATGAAACTACGTGATATATACAGAGAAAAGTTCTAGTGGGTTTCATTATTTTAAAAATATATCTCCTTACTCACTTTTATAAAATATCCATTGATATTTTCATCTTTTTTCCACTATTTTTTACCAGCCAAACAAAATGGCAGTGTTAGGGCTTGGTGAGTGAATTAGTTTACTAGGTTATTTTTATAATTAGATTAGATATAAATAATCAACCGTTCAAAGAGAATTTGGTTAGAAACATTTTAACCTTATAAACTAGTCTTTTGTAAAAAAATAAAATAAAGTTATCCAGTACATCCTTGCACTTATATTTCCATCGATGAATGACATAAATCACATATCTCACTTCTCTTTAACATTGTATCTAATAAAAAAATATATTCGAATGATTTTTTTTTTTAATTTTGAAGGTGTTTTATGGTGTTGATATTCAATTTCTTTTTGTAATGAAATGTATTGTTTAAAAGAAAATTTAAAAAAAATGTTCTAAATAATTATTTCGATGGAAATTTTTAAAAGAATAATTATTTTTGTTGCAACATTTAAAATATTTTATGGTGAAATATGATTTTTGGATAAGAAAAAAAATTTGAAATTTTAAAATTTTTCAAAATTATATTTTATCCTGTTTTTGTTCACTCACCTTTCTCTTCATTATCCCACCGCCCCCCGAATTCATTGTCGCACTCTCGTTCGTTTCCCTTAATTTTCTTTAAGAAATGAGTTAAGGTTTTACATATATGTATGTATCTGCGTGTATTGGAATTGGTCTATCACATATCCATTATAGTTTAATTTTTAAATGGTGTATAGATAAGAATGTTAAAGAGTAAAATTCAATATAGTTTAATCTTTAAACATCGGAAGGAATTAAGTTTTTGATGTAGCAATGCCATTTGTGCAGAAGAAAAAGTACATGTTAAGCGGGAAGTGGGAGTGGAGCTTGCAACAATTTGCTCCTGACGGTCCCCACATCTACAATTTAAGACAACAATTTCTTCCCCCACTCCAATTCACGTGAAACCACAGCAATGAGAAACTGCTACGGGAAAGTGCAATCCCAAAAAAGTTGGTAGCATTAGCAGAGGAATTGGTAAGGAAAGGAAACTATTATTAAATTCTTAAATGAAAGATGGAACATAAAACAACGGATTGCATGAGTGACCTACTTCCTCAATAGTTTGTACACTTGAAACGCTTTACACATACAACAAATTGCATATGCTCTCATTTGAATGAAACGAGAGCTTTAATGAGAAAAAGAAGTAGAAACCAAAGGCAGGCAAATAAAATCTCCTTTTCTGCTCATTAATCCAAACAGTTGAAAACAAGTGTTGACTTTGCTGGTTTTCCAGTCGGCTCAACCAATCCATGAATGCAGCAGCAAACCAGATGTTAATGAATGGAAAATAAATCATCTGAATTTCTGGACACATTAATGCTATTAAACATTTATGATGCAAACAAATGCCAGTGATGATCTGAAGGTAAATTCTCCTTGATCTTTTCAAGACGTTTAAGGATCTCTATGAAGGATGGTCTCTGATTCACGTCATGGGCCCAACACTGCTCCGTTAAACTACGAACATGAAAGGCCGAAGTTCATAAGATTAGTTATATGATCCAGGCCTGCTCTGAACAAAAAAATTGTTTGCTTGCCATAGCTTATAATAGCCTAATTTACACAGCATTCCAGAACCTCTAATGAAATGGTCATAAAGAAAGAGTTAAATCATATTTAGGCTAGTAAACTAGGGGTTTGTAAAATTGGAAGTACTATACAGCAATAGTAAGCAGATCCTTGTCAATGTTCTTCCATTTTTGGTGAAGGAAAGCAAAATCATAATCATCTCTTCAAGTGTTAAAAGGTAAAATATGGGACAATAATCTTTCGTGATATAAGGGAAATATAAATAGCAAGCCTTGCAATGGCGTATCGCATGGCTTTAGATATCACAGAACATTTAAACACATAATCTTTCGTGATACAAGGGAAATATAAATAGCAAGCCTAGCAATGGCGTATCGCATGGCTTTAGATATCACAGAACATTTAAACACACACTACAAGAGTATGTGCAGTTGAAAATTTCAAATCAAAACAAATGAGTTCATAACAAAGCAAAGGGAAGAAATCAATCCTAAATCAAATATTGAATAAATCGGAGGTTGAACTGAAAATGTCAAGGATATGATTAATTGAATGCATTGCTCTAACATGAGTATCTTCTCTAATGGAAGCACCTTTGTAAGTACTTGTATAAGGTTCATATAAGTATGTGGACTTCTTTAAGATATCAACCTAATCTTAATTAAGCCTAGCACAAGTAGCCTACACTCAAGTTTTTTTAAAGAAATGTAAAGGATATACTCTCTTGAAAGCTTCATCCATTAGGTGCAAGCCTAGAAATGTGGACTTCTTTGAAGAATGATACCAAAACAAGCTCTTGATCATTTGGTCAAATAGAAAATCATACCATAGCAAGAACGACCTTTCAAAATAGAGTGCTAGAAAATTGTATAAAAGAAATGTATCATAAACAACTTACTCTTGCAATTCATTAATATAACCCTTTGACCGAAATTGAGGCCTTAGTCCCTCAGCAGCGCGTTTTGCTCCATCATAAGGCTCGAGATTTGCAAAAGGTGGTTCACCTTCAAGCATCTGCATTTGATAAAGATTGTGCATTAAAATTAGCTTCAAATTAAATCACATAAAAAGTTCTGTATCTAAGCAAGCGGAATTACCTCATACAAAATCATTGCAAAGGAGTACACATCAACCTTTTTATCATATCTCCGATGTTTGAATACTTCAGGAGCCATGTAGCGGTCTTTTTTCATTCCCAAGAAGACGGAAACTAAATTCAGTTTTGCATAAGAATGAATACTGATATTTTAAAAGGAATTCCGAGAATACTCACAACTCCCCGTTTCACCGGTCATCTTGTATACATCATGAGAACTCTGGACAGTGATAAGCTTACTCAATCCAAAATCCCCAACTTTTAAATGGTCGGCACTAGAATTGACTAAAAGAACATTCCTGAAATTTTAGAAAATAAACTTCAACACAGGCTTCTAAATTCAAGCTGCATGTGTTTAAGACAATTTTGGTAATCTAGTTTTTTCAATTTGTTTATAAGCAATATGATAAGGACCCATGCACTTGGGAAACTCTACCCCAAAAAATTCACTACTAATGGAGGAGAACTAACACCTAAATATGCAACTAAGCAACGAGATGATGTGGGAACTGACATCTGATAACACAAGAGTCAACATCTTAATGGCTTTCACTCTACAACACCCTAAAAAGCTAAGAAGCCTTCACTCTATAACACATTACTCCCACACCGACAACCAACTTTGCTATCAAATGATAAACACCCAAGCACACTAGGGAAATCTACTCTCAAAAAATTAAGGGAGGACGAAACACTTAAACAATCCACTAATAAGTATGCCATACTATTTGATGTGGCACTTAGGCACATGAGAATAACCAAGTCCTTATCATAATACATCTTTGACATGCTGTCTGTGACAGGTTATCCATAATAATATTTTTACATATAAGTTGCAAATAACCAACTTACCTTGGCTTTAGGTCTCGATGAATTATAACATTTGGTTCATTGTGAAGATAGGCCATTCCTCTACAAGACAATATCAACAAAATATATATTAGCATAGTGATTAAATTATGAGAATCTGAATTTAATCAGATTCTTCTAGATGTCCTAATTCTATAATCTGAGTTGATAAAATACGGGATACTATCAAATTGGCTTAGGTCTACACAGGTCATATTATTCGATGGAGATCAAGGAGGCTAGCTAAAGCCATACAAGTGATACACCTGTGATTCTTGTTGGTCCAATGACAAGAGCTTGTAGGGCTATGAGAGCTAAGAGACCATGACAAACCTAGCTGCTAAAATCATACTACAGTCATGAATAGCGATGGGACAACATGGGTTTATTTGATTGAAGCTTTGGAAGACTAAATAGAGTTGTTTAGGCTATGTTAAAAAGTGAAGCAAAACTTAAATAATTAGTTGATATTAAGAGTCTTGCACAATCAATAAGACCTATTTTGGGCGTGTAATAGTTTAGGACTTCCTTTTGTTAGTTGGTTATAGATTTTAGGTTAGTTTCCATGTCTTTTGCTTTAATTAAGACCAAATTTTTTATGTTTTGCCCATGAAAGATAAGAACAACATTTATTTTAGGAGTTGAACATTAATTGAAGAAATTTCGGATTCTTTTCTCCATCGCTGAGAGTTTCATTTATCCTAAGTAGTTGTAAAATTCAACTAGTACCAAGTACCGAGAGTGATTTTTGTGGTAAGTTCCTCTCCAAGTTCATGACTGCAAAAATTCTCCTTGTGATTGTGTAAGACTATATTACCTTATTACATTACTATGAATTAACTTATTAAATATTTTCTTATAAATTATATATTTAATATTTATTAACATTTTAAAATAATAACTTAAAAAATAATTAATTTATGCATATAATTAAATATTTGAATATAATATTATAATATATAATAATAATATTATTATTATAAATATTCTATATGTATATAAAAAATAATTAAATATTTTTTAAAATATATATTTTGATATAAATATAATAAATTAAAGTATATATTTAATTAATAATAATTAAAAAATATTAAAATTACAAATATTTATTTACATATACAAAATATTAAGATTAATTTTACATATACAAAATATTAAGATTAATTTATTATAAGTATAACTATTTTTAATAAATAATATAAAACGGAAACGGATAAAGATAAAAACTTAAATTTTAAGTCCAAGGGACTATTTAAATAGTCGGGACGGTCGGAGAGTCAAAATCCGTACCTACTGGCATGTTGCCATGCCTAAGCCGGGATCAGATTTCAATTCAAGATTTTCTATGGTGTTGTCCACAGGCCTATTATCAATCTTATTTTCTGTATCAGTTTGATATCAGAGGTTCTTGATTGTTGGCTGAATATATTTTTTTTTTTGTGGTATCATATTATAAAAAAAATAATAGTAAAAAAACGAAAAAAAAAATTATTGTGGGATTTAGAAATTGCAGTTACATGTCATGTAGTTGGGATCAGATTTCAATTCAATATTTGCTTTGGTGTTGTCCAAAGACCCTTATCCATCTTCTTTTCTGTATCAGTTTGATATCAGAGGTTCTGGATTGTTGGCTGAATAATTCTTTTTGGTGGTTTTATATTATAAAATAAAATAGTAAAAAAAAAAAACACTTGTGCATTTGATCTTTGACTCAATTTAGGAAGGACTGCATATGTAGAGCAAGCAAATCGCAAGCTTAAAACGAAATTTAGGATACATAATGATGGTGGGAGGTGGCAAGTTAGCTGATATCCTGATTATAGAGAGAGGACTTTGAAGAATAATAAAAGCGAAGTTGAAGGTTTCTGGCCCTCGAAAGGGTAGAAGAGAGACGAGGAGCTGCTGTGGCTGGAGCACAATGTCAGAGTTCTTCAACAAACCTATGGGGTGTTATATAACAGAAGTAAAAATAACTGGAGCGCATTTTGGTAATTTGCTTTTCATGTGCTTTGTTTTTTCATAGGTAATTTCCTCCAACTCTCTTCCTCTTATGTATTTCGTTTTTATTCTTAAAGATTTATTTTTATAACAAAATTAGGAAAACAAAAATATGGATAGATTTGATACCTCACAATATCCATGGAAAAGTTGATAGCGGTTGCTGGACTAAGTGCACCTTTTTCTTTGAGGTACTGATGAAGATCACCCTATATATGAATGAAACAGAAGTCCATTTAAAACATAAGTTTGCTAGATAAAAAACTAAGTGCAGAATGCTTAATCTGAAGAAATTAAGTTTTATTCACATACCCCTCTTAGATACTCAGTAATTAGCATGAGGGGTTTCCTGTCTGTAACAGCTCCAAGAAACTGAACTATATTGGGGTGTCGAAGCTTGACTAACAAATTGACCTCATGCCTGAAGTCCTGACTGTATAAAAGTTAACACACAAAATATGAGATATCCAAAAAACCTGTTACAGATAAAATATGAATTATATTGTTGCAACCCCTCCCCCCCTCCCTCCCTCCCCCTATTCCTTTAATTTTGATCATTTATCATAACCTGACATGACTAGAATAAATCAGTTGTACAGTTAACAAAAACAGTTAAATTAATTGTCAAAATCTTTCCTACTGACAGGAAAAAGCAAACCACTAGATCTTAGTTTTAACAACTTCACCAATCACAAGCAATCTAAAGACATTCGCATCGCAAATAACAAGTAACTAGCGGCAACCAAATTGAAACAAATACTATAGACGAAAGAAAGAATCTTACATCACCAATCTATCTTCTGAAAGAGATGGCAGAATACGTTTAACAGCAACTGGTGTTCCACGCCAATGGGCTTTTAAAATTTCACCAAAAGACCCCTTCATGAAACATAAATCATTCAAAAAGAAAAAAAGGTCCTATATTTTTGGTACAGATCACACATATCCTCCACTAAAGACTATATTATTCAATCCAGGGAAGATTACTGTGTAAAGCCCTCGTGCATGTATTGAATGTAACTTCATACTTAGGACTCGAATTCGAGATAACAAGATAAGCTGAAACAACCCCATGTAAATTAATCTCTGTTTTTTTAGGAGGTGCCTTACCACTCTTTGTTTGTTTATTAATCTAATTTTATTTTATTTTTTTTCTAAATTTTTTGTTCCTTGAGCACATTTGAGAGTGTTTTTCCCTGAGCCTTTTCAGTTTCTAAAAGTTTATCCTCTAAACACATGACACAGAATTTAAAGAAAACTAAAAGAAGATGATGGGAAAAAAGGTACTAAAGCATAGCACAAATCTAGGTCTATGTTAAGTAGCAGTTACAGAAGTGTAGTGGCAAAACGAGTTTGATCAAAGCACAGAGCAAACTTTGAAATCCGTTGACCAAATTCAGTCCAGTGAAACCAAGAAAACGCAAAAGCGAAACCAACCTTTCCGATTCGGGCGGAGTTGGAGAAGTCAAGCTCGGTAGGTTCGATTTCCCAGTCACACTTATTCGGCAACGGCGGCGGAACAGGCTTCGGTTCAAAATGGCTTCCAGTTTGCCCCTGCAACGACCATCGCCGTTCAAAATCAAACCTCAACTTCACTCATCATTCCGAACACAAACACAGAATTACACATAATAAGAAAAACCTCACATAAGACAAGCCTCCATGAGATTGCAAAAGCTCGATCACGTTAGTCTTTTTAGCTCCTTCCGCATCCGCCAGAGGCTGTCCACAACGACAACAAAAACCTAAAGGTCATTCACCATTTCCAATCCAGCATATAGTGAAATAATAATGCTGAAAATAACAATTATAATTATTATGAATAGGATTACGGTGTTCTTCCAACGATCTTGCGCGTTGACATCGGCGCCGAACTCGATCAAACATGTGGCAACGTCGATCCAGCCGTGGAGGGATGCAACGTGGAGAGGGGTGCGGTTGTCGTAGTCCCTGGCCGTAACGAGCGAAGGATCCTCCTGCAGGAGCTTCCGCACCGCTGCGGCGTCGTTTTGGTGAGCGTGCCACAGTATCAACGACGTGCGACTCACCCTCTGCTTCTCCTTCTCCTTATCACTATTGCTTCCCGAACTCATCGCTTCAATGCTTTCTTCAACACTCGCTCAATTATGTTATCTTCTTCTTCTATTGCGTTTCGTTTGGTTGGTCCCTTACTCAACCATGTTTTCAATGTCAACTCACAACACAACACCTTTTTTTTTTTTTTTTCTCTCAAATTCGCTAGGGGTATAAACCGCGTGGGGTATATTAAATTTTCTTCGTTATTACCGTTTAACCGCTGCAACTGAAGAAACCCTATGTTTAGCTTTGAGTATGAGTTGCAAAAGCAATAGTAAACTTTAGGTAAAAAAGAAAAAAATCTTGCCTCTTTTGTGTATGTAGAGAATGTGGAATTTATTATGAAAGATTTACCAAAATTGAATTACTCGAGAATATAGTAAAGGGTTTCATTTTTGCCATGCTTATAAAAATTAATACATTGTTAAAAAAGGCAAACCTCACTCACTTAATTTATATGTCTAAAAACTTTTAGTCTCCAATTCCATATTAGAAGTTATCTTTAGTGAAAACAAAAAGAAAATGGATTTATTTACTTTTAGTTACAAGAGAAAATGGAAATGCCTCCAATTATTCGAAAAAATATATACTAATTATTAATAAATCCATGAATAATTGGTTAGTGGTGACCAAGTTATTCTCACCTTGCTAGTAAATTACACGAAATTATTAAAGTAGGAGGTGCATAAATAAAAAAATATATGTACAATAATAAAACTTTTGTGGCTAATCTTGATTGATAAGTTATAATTAATAATGACCACAAAATGGAAACATAGTCTTCACTTTCCCATATGAAAGTCACGTTTCCACGCTCCAAATTCCCGTTCCAATAGTTATCAATCAATGCCGATCTTTTCTTAGGTGAGAAACGGCTATCACATTTATTAATGCAAAAGGAATTTAAATTTTTTTTTCAACGTACTTTCAAGTAAATCAGACAGACTTTTAGGACATTTTATAAAATTTATATAAGTTAAAATTGTTTTATGCCCAAATTAAAATAAAAATTTAGAAAATTAATATAATAAAAATTTTAAAAATTTCTACCGTGCAAGTTAGTTTTAATTTATGGAGAAGGAGATTTTTTTTTATTCTTCTCTTTTAAAATTCCTTATAAAAATTTGTCCAAACTTATTTTTTATATCTAAAATTTTTAATAGTATTTAAATTATTTTGTAATTCTTATAGAAATATATATATATATATATATATATATATATATATAGTTATTTTATTATTTTTGGTGTAACATATTCTTATTTTCTCATTTCAATATTTAGATATTTTGATCATGAGTTTAAATTTCTTATTACATTAGATGATCTAGCAATCAAAGTCTTCAGTGTCTTATTCTCATGTAATAAGTTTTTTTTTGTCCGAAAATAATCAATTTTGAAAGTTTTGTTCAAATCTTTCTATTTTTTTAATTAAATTTTTTTCATTCCTTTTAAAAATAGTTTGTTCACGATTAAACCTGTTTCTCAAATTTTCATTTTCTGAGTTTAGTAATCAACATTCAACTTACTAAATGTTTCAACTTGAATATATAGTTTAAAATATTTTTCAAATTATTTTTGGTAGTTTAATAATATTTAGAGACTAGTTTAAATTTGATAATAGTTTATCATAAGCATCATGTAAATGTTAGAAAATATACCTTGCCATATGAAGCATCTCATGGATAATCTATAATTGCATCTACTAATACATAGAGGTTGACTTCCTTCTCTTTCTGACTCTAATGAGTCTAAATTTCTCAAAATAGACATCAAAACTTTTTTAATAGTCTAAACATTTATATTTCATATAACCTAACTTCTTATAATTATAGAAAATAACCTTTTATTTATTCTTAATTCTAAATGTTATGTAGACATATCATGATGAATTCAAGTTTGTCATCCTCATATTTTTTGTGAGGTAAAAAGTTGTTTGTCTTTTCTATAACTTTGGTACGAGTGTATTATATGGTAGATTTGACTATGAAAGGTATTGACTTTTTTCTATTGTATAATTACATCTTTTAGAAGTTTTTACCAGTAAACCTTTAATATACCAATCAATCCTTCTAACGAAAGACTATCTAAATTCTTGGACATTCTAAGTGTTGTTTTGTGGACATCATTATCTAAGTAGACTTCTCAAGATTTTGTCAACATGATCCTATAAATTATAATTTCTACCAAAGATTGTAGTTCATTTAATATTATTTGAAATCTACTAAACATATTTTGCATTCTTTCATTTTCATTCATGCTAAACAATTTATATTATCTTGTAAGTAAAATTAATTTGTTATCTTTTATCTTTGTGGAACTCTCAAACGTTATCATAAGAAAATATTACATTTTCTTTACTCTTTTGTATGCATGAATTTTTTTGTATTCTTCTTTGAATTGAGAACAAAAGAGAGCATTTATTACCTTTGAATTTAAGAAATATCTGGATTTCTGTTCTTCATTCCAATGGCTCATTAGTAGAGAATTCTATACTTATTCAAAAGAATGTAGTTACCATTTTTAACCACATCCCACACCAATATGTGACAAGATTAAAAAAATGCTATCATCCACTACTTCTAGAAATTAAATTTCTCACTTTGAAAGAAAAGTGATTTGTTTACAAAATGTCATTCATTTTCCATTGCATAGTAGGATCTTCTCCACGAGTCCTATAAAGAACTAATCCTAAGAGGTTAGTTTTAATACCAACTGAAAACACATGTTAGTTCTAAAAAAGGGTGTTTAAATAGAGTTCTTTAACAAAAAATTAGCAATAATTTTCCACCAATTTAAAGCATTTTTTAAAAATAAATAAGCAATGAATAATATATATATATATATATATATATATATATATAAAAGTAGGAAAAAGAGAAAATATTATAGGTATATTAGTTCATCCCAACTAAGAACTACATCTAATATTATTTTAGAACACTTCAAGGTTCCACTATAATAAATAATAACTTTCACAAATAACTGTCAACAAGTACATCAAGTTACTTATCAACATGTATGCCACTTTTGATATCAGTAAGTACACTAAACTCCTAGCTAGTACATTAAGTCACTTTTGGATATCAATCTTAATCTTCTTTCGAAACTAAGAGCATAATTATTATTTATTGTCACTTTTGACTACAAGAACGATTTCAAGTATATAAACATAAAAATAATTCTAAAAAATAACATTGCTAATTAAAGATTTACTTCACTGGGTGAAAAATATAATAATGACTTTGTCTCTATTTACTAAAATAACTTTCACAGATAAGATAAACAATGAATATTTTAACAAAGAGTTTATGTCATTCAATAAAAGATATAACAATGACTTTTCTTTCTTAGACATTCTAAAAGAAAATATTCACTATGAAGATAGAACAAGAGACTAATACGATTTTGTTGTTGTGTTTTATTTAGTCAATAAATTTATCTTTTTACAAGCTTTATTGAAACCCTAACCTTTATAGTTTTTTCAAAATATTTATTCAATATGATATTATTGATATTCCTTTAATATTATATTCTTTGTATAAAGTCTCCTTTTATTATGCTTGGTATATTTTTGAGTTGTCTAGACTACTAAAAATTCTCATTTTTCATAGGAATATTTTTGCAAAGTTTTTGTAAAAATTACAAGAAATAAGTTTTTCTATAAATTTAAATAATTTTTTGCAAGAAAATTGGCAGGAAAAAATTAATTATCTAGTAGTGAGTTTAAATAATTTCTATGCAAGTTTTTACAACATATTGCATATTTTACTTTCGATATAAACATAGACGTTCAAGAGAAAATATTTCCTTTTACATACTTTGAACAAATATGATATACTTGGATATGTTTCATCTTTATTTTAAAAATCTTAAAATTATTTATTGTAATATCGCTTGGTTCCTGTTACAATATATAATATATTTCTATTCTAAAATAATATTTGAATTTTGATCGTTGCACGTCTATTTTTCTATGAAAATTTCTTTATTTTTCATTGTAGAATATATATATATATATATATATATATATATATATATATTCTTTATTTCAGAATTTACCTGATAATCCATTTTAATAATTATTTTGCATATAAAACTCAATTGATTTAATATGTAATTATTAATTTATTTCTTATTTTCTTATAACACATGTAGTTATCTTAAACTTTATCATATTTGTTATTATTCATTTTCATTTATAACAAATGTATCTTTAATCTTATCTTTTCATAATCAATATTCATGTATGAACTCATTATAAGATTTGTATATGAATCCAATTAAATGATTAAGATAAGAGATAAAAACTTTAACACATATAATTATATTACTTTCAACACAGTTATAATGACAACATTTAATATTGGTTCTATAATGTATATAACATTAATTTTTGAATTATTGTTGAAAATTAAAATAATTAACCTTGATTACGTTAAAAGTGTAAATATTTAATATTGATTCTATAATATTAAATGAAGTTTTATTTTCAATAAAAAAATTAATTTTCTAATAATTTTAAATGAAATTCTACTTTTGAAAAAAAAATCAGGAACATGAGACTGACATTTTCTTTGTCTCTTGTTTTGCAAAATTATTTAAAGTTAATTTAACACAATATTAGAAATAGATTTATTTGTTTCTTTATTTTTAAACATCTTACTATTATTTTAATTCTGAGAGCACCCCTTTTGATATGGTCACTTTTAGAGTTGTAGGGTACGTATACGATGAAACACTTATTTTTGGAGTTTTAAATTAGAAGTGAAGATTCAACTCAAATATGGTTAATACCGAATTAGAAGTGAAGATTTGCATTCAAGAGTTAGAATATAAAATTATGCTGAATTGTGATGTATGGAGAACCATTTGGCACAATTAAAGAAGAGAAAATTAAAAGATAAAATGAAAGAAAAAACTTATGAGTATAAAAACGGTGACAGATCTTGATCATTGATTCTTGGAGACTAAATAATATATTATTAATAAATAATAAATAAATATAAAAAGGTGAAAAAAGATAGAGAGTGAAAGAATAAAATTGTAAATATATAAATATATATATATATATATATATATATATTAAATGATCATTAATTTAGTTAAGATAAAATTATAAATTATATAAGAGTTAGAAACGATAAAAGGATAAAATTGTAAATATACAATTAAATATATTAAATAATCATTAAGTTTGGAGGACCAAAATCATAAATTATATGAAAATTACACAACTTTAAAGTTCACGACGTCCAAGAAGATCCATCATTAAAAAAGTAATGTAATTTAAAATGGATCCATGATAATTGAGGAAAGAGTCATCATTATTAAATGATGGAAGATAAAAATCTAATAAGAAAAAAACTTAATTCTCAATAACTTAACCCAAACTTACCAATTTTATTATTTTCAAAAGTAAAATAAAAAGAATGGAGATAAATATTTACAGCGTAGTGACCCCTCGTGGAAGGCACAAGTGTCGGTAGTGATCCCTTCATACATTCATCACCTTCACTTTATGGTTTTGAGGTATTCAATAAATAAAAAAACAAAGTACCTTTCTTTGTTCATTGAATGCTATTTTTTATCTATCCTCTCATCACATAACCTAAAAATGGTTAAATATATGTTTATGTTTTAAAATCAGTGAATTTATAAGACAACTATTGAATTATTTATCAATACCCAACAGTGAACATCTTTATATGTAAGTGTTAACTTCAAATCCATTTACAATTCACAATATATGAACTAAATACTCCAAAACTAGCATGAGTTTATTCTATGCACCAGAACCTTTCGACGAGATGATAGCACTTGATTAAGTTGTGAAATCTGTTGTGAGAGTTGACTAATCTTCTGCACCAAAAAAATGTTCATGATAATGTTATTCAATGTTAATTTAATCCCTCATTAGACTTAGTTACTATCTATAACAACTACATTTTATTATATAAATAACTTTAAGATAAATTAAAAGTGAAGATATTAGTATATCAATGAAGATGATATACCTTAAACAAAATAAAAAGATGAAAAAAAAAAACCTATGTGTATATCTAATATAACTAAGTATGTGTGTAATTGAGAGGCTATTGAATTAATGATTAAGATTTCAATTAACAATATATTAAAATGTGTTTCATTATTGAATTAGTGAATTCATTAATTCAATTGTGGTAGAACCATCGTCAAGAACCTTATTTGCGTGGCTTTGTTTATTTTAAGAAGATTTATGAATAATTCTTTTAAAACCAAAGAAATAAAGTTCCCAAAAACCTTACTTGAACATTTTTCTATTACAAAATTTAACTAATTCATGTCAATTTGGCTTATTATTAATCTTTCTTTGGCTATTAGTTTCTTGAATTATAAGATGGTCTGAATTGAACCATGTTGACAATAAGAAGTTTCAGAAGGTATATTTTTTTATTTGGTTAGATAACAATTTAATCAGAGTCAAATCAAATCCTATTTGGGTTAATATATTAAATTTAGTCCTAATAATTAACTAAAATTGAAAGATGGTTTCCGAAAAATAATAATAGTTTATATTTTATATGCTCAATACTCTTTTATAAAACAATTCTATTAGTAGTTGCTTAAAATTAGTAATAAGTACTTTAAATAATTTATTAACCTAATTTAACCCTTTGATAAACTTATTTTGTTTAGCAAACTAATTAGAGTTCCATTCCAAACAGTTTCTATTTGATAAACTTGTATTAACCTTCATTAATTATATAGAAGCATTTGATATTAATTATTACTTAAAATAATTTTGTTTTACATTTATAAAATAATATTTTTAAAACAATTTTTTTTTGAATAATTATAATAACTAACTTTGACATCTTTTCTATTTAGAATACAGGTTCTATTTGAATAAGAAAATATAATGAAATACTTTCTTTTATTATTATATATCTTTTATATATGATTTTTTTAAAACTCTTTTTATTAGTAAAATATAATTCCATTTTATTTTTTCCTAACAAACTCCATCAGTTTTACTTCCAACCTTGCAGGATGCATATGCAGAAATAGCAAAGAATGTAGAAATGAAACATGTTAAATGCACACTCACCTCATCTTTCTCTCTCAGAAGATCGACGCAACGATCCACCACCACGTTACGCCGACTAACCCTCCTCCTCCGCCGCCGAAACACCACGTAAACCAGCGACACCAACACCGCCACAGCAGAAGCTCCGCCCACATGCGTAAATGACCAAAACGCCCCCGTACACATTGCCCAGTTACTAACCTTGGAAGCCAAGCCAGAAACGCGCTCTCTCATACCCTCTAACCGCAGCTTCAACACCTTCTTCCCTTCCTTAACCACCCTCACACGCCAATCTAACGGCGCCGTCGACGGTGTTAACGGCGAGGAGGTTTCGTCTTCGGGATCCGTTACTGTGGTTGGAACGATTTGTGACAATGAGAGTTCGTGGCGGGTGGGAGTGGGGCTTCGAGGATCGTCAGTGGAAGAAGCTTGGTCACCAACTTCGAGGTAGTTTTCGTTGATAATTTCCGTGTTCCATTCGGAGGTTTCGATTTGTTGCCACTCGTCTATGTTCTCCTTGTATTCCATGATGTTCCGAGTTTTTTGGTACAACAGCTTCTGCTTGTGTCGATCTTACTAGATAAATATCTATTCTCTAAATATAGAAAACTGAAAAAATATCTCACAGGGTTGAATTTTCTTATTGGTTTTTTCTATTATTGGAGTGTTTACCGATAAATAGATAAATTGGTGCCTTATGTTTAGAGGATATGGTGGGCCAGGACTTTATCAGATTCTTCTGAAAGTATCCTCCGATTACTACAAACCAACATGCCCATTTTGTACATTGTAATTTGATGAAAAATTGAAAATTGTTCCTTTTGTAGTAGTGTGATAGTGAGAGATTTTAACTTTGATAGTTAATTGGAGGAGGAAAAAGTACGCACTCTGCACACGAGAGGAGCAGGATTAATTAACCGCTTAGTTTATGGTTGAAACAATTTAGAGCCAAGGATGCTTGTTTGAACTGGAGAGGAGCTGAGAGCATCACCTGAAGTGCTCAAGGGAGTGTTCTTGATTAATGTTGAGAAGAGTTGGAACAATACATTTACATGCATTACTTGGTAGGGGTGTCATTTTTTCTAGATTTGCATCGGATGTTGCAAGTTTTTCAATGACATAAATGCTTCCTCACTGTGAGGCTGCTGTTTGGCCTAACTCTTTTCAAGGGACAACATTTAATGACAACTCCAGTGTAGGAGTATGAACTACCCTCAACCTGTTGATTTCTAAACTGTTTTTCCAAATCTTCCATAATGAATTGACAAAGAATTCTTTCGTGTTATTTTATTTATACAAAAGGAAAAACAGTACTCTTTCTAGTTGGAAGGAATGAGCTTTTATAATATCTGTTTGCTAACTTCGATAGCTACAAAATATTTTTCGGAGCAACTCATTAGTGGCTTTAATAACCTGCCTGTTTTATAGCATTAGTTGAATCATCAATAACCTGCCTGTTTTATAACATTTGTTGAATCATCAATGAAGTTCGTAGGCACAGATAAAGATGGTAAAAGACACTGCTACTGTTTCTGAGCATATGGTGGTAATTACATTGGAGACCTGGAGACATCACTTTTAGGAAGGATCGAACTACATCATTAAGCGCCCATATGGATTATTTTCGCATCCTAAATATGCAAAATTCCAATAAATGGATTATTTAGATATCCCATAAACAGGCAAACCCTTGGAATTGGGGATTTTGATACACTGACAACCATTATTCCAATGTAGAAAGAGTTAAATATAAAACCAATATTCAGCCTTGCCTAAATAGTTTATGCATTTGGGTTGGCTTAGATTTTAACAAATCAAAGCCTTCATCACAAAGTTGAAGTAAAATCCTTCCCATCCTCATTTTTAATCAAAGCCTTTATAACAGTTTTTTTTCTCCATTTCACATGTATAGGAAGAGAAACCTAACCAAGTTTCATTTTGATATCTTGGATCGGTATTCTATAATATTTTTTTCTTAGATTAAGGATAATTATGAAGTTAGATTTTGTAGAAATTTTAAAGAAAGTATGCACATTACATGTTCATAAGGATAAGAAAATTCCGCACAAAAATGAAGGTAACCTTTCGATGGAAAAGTACTTCTCCTTCTGTCAAGAAAGGCGCCGAAATTCCCTACATTATGAACACCTAAGAGTTATCAAAATTCTTTTCCAAGTTTATTGAGAAATTCGGCACTTGCTCCTTCAACGAATGTTCTTGGAAAAACTTTCTCTTCTTCTATCCTTCTAGCCATAAACTTTGTTAATGGTCCAATGTGTTGTGACTTAGATAGTCCTCCATCACCTTCCTTAATCTTTCTCATGTCTTGCCATGTTCTATGGTTCATTGTGTTGGAATAGACAGATTAAAGGGGTATATTTTGGTTGGTTTTATGATGATACAAGAGATAGGATACATACATTTGACTATATAATTTGTGTTGGGTTCAATCAAAAGATAAGTGGAAATCGTCCAAAATAGTTTGATCTACACTTCCTATCCATGTATCATCATTCAGGAATGGCTTGAAGCCGTCGTTGATTTGTGTAAGTAGTTACAGAAGAATGGGCGCTATATCACTACTTTGACTGGTTTGTTCACATTCCATTTCTGTTCTGGAATGGGGGCTCTTGGCTACATCCTTGATCAATAGAATGCAGATTAGTATTAGGTTCTTGGCTACATCCTTGAGTTTCCGCTCCGGTAATTAGGTTCTTGTAATGTTAAGACTTAGGAAGACGTTGTTGTTTAATCCGATATATTTCTATCGGAATTACAAGAACATGTAGTTTAACTGAATAACTAGAAACAGTGTAGCTTTTATTTTGCTCTTGGTGGAAATTCAATTACATTTCAACTGATGAAAAAACATTTAGCACAAATCACATGAAAGAAAAACATACAGTGATGTAAACAAACTCCCAACAAAAGGTGAAACCTGTGACTTCAGTCTTGAGTGTCCTTGATGGAATTCTGAAGACAGATTGTTGCTGATACTGTATTACTATGTTTCCCCATCAAATAGGTCAGGAAGTGGGAATCCTGCCGGTCCGTCCTTGAACATTCGGTCCTGTTTGACTTGATTAATCTTTTCATGGTCATCTTTTGTGAGTGACCAATCAAATATCTCTATATTTTGCTTTAATCTCTCTTTATTATAGCTCTTCGGTATTAAAGTCACACCTTGTTCAAATAACCATCTAAGACATACCTATTACATAACAAATGATTGATTGTTTGTATTAGCATCCAAGTGGCTGCCAAAGGAAACTCAGTACAGTGACAATTCGAAATTATGAGGTTTGAATTCGTGATTGGGATGCATTTTGAAGACTGGTGAGTGTTTGGAAGAACTGATGAAAATACCTTATGATGTGTATAATTGATTTTTAGCTTATGTTGATAGGCCCTTCAAGATAACTAAAGAAAACAGCTTCAAACTTATATGAAATTAGTTTAATCTCATTTTTCACTGATCATTGAAACAACTCATACGTAAGGCCTTAAATCATAAACACCTATTCAATAAGTGTTTAATTAAGCTATTTAATTGATAGTTCAACTTGTCAAACAATTTATTATTAACTTCCTGTAAGTGAACCAATTTTGCTAGAGTAAAAATTTAGCTTTAAAAGCAAAGGGTGTGAGGAAATTGGTAACCTGAGCAGCAGTTTTGCCATGATCTTGTGCAATCTGCTTGATCAATTCGTTGTCCAAAACTTGATTAATATCCCATTTGGTCCCTTTGGCTCCCAAAGGAGAGTAGGCAGTTACGATTATATCCTTTGCCTTGCAGTATTCTCTAAGGTTCTTTTGCTGCATGGCAATATTCATCTCCACCTGTTTGGGGTGAATAAGATGTGTGAAACTAACAAAATGTGCAGGATAGATGATGTTGATGGAGGGACTTACTTGATTGACCGAAGGAGGAATTGTAGCGAAAGAGACTAGATTTTTTAGCTTCTTGCAAGAGAAATTGCTCACTCCAATTGATTTTGTAAGGCCAAGTCTATGAGCTTCTTCCATTGCTGCCCACACACCCTTTAAGTCAAATGGAACAAGGCACTCTTCAGAATAAGGCATATACCGCTTTTCAGGTTTCGCACTAATGGGCCAATGGATTAAATAGAGGTCCAAATAATCTAATTTAAGACATCTGCACCAATTTAAGTTTGGAAAAACACTTAGATTCAGTTATTCAAGTGATTTTCATATTGATCCAATTAAATTAGATTTAACCTATGTTAACCTTAAGAGGTATGAAAAACACTAGAAAGTTTCTAAAGTAAATGCTGATAATACGAATAAAGAACTGTAACTAATTCTAAATGAAAAACAACTTCAAAAGCAAGCATGTAATAAATTAGAGAACAATGCCAATAACACTTAAAGAACTTCATCAAAGTTTTATCTGAGTGACTTTCATTAAGGTTATAACTTATAAATTAGTAAATGAGAAGTGATACAAGGACACCTAATTACTCTGAAAGCCTGATTAAAACTAGTCATTTTTTTCTACTTCTCAACTTATCAAATTACATTACTGAGATTTCTCTCTTTATCTATCTCTCTTCGTGTCAATAAATTATTAGTTAGTGCTGGATATTTGATATGTAATCAAGTTGACAAACTTTTTTTTCTTTTTTTATTTAAATTGAAAACCCCAAATACATATATTGGTAATTTGGTATTGGAACCATGGAAATGTGGTAGCTCCGTACCATACCACTTAATAATTTTCACGAGTATGGTGTTCACTATCTTTTTATTTTTTACCTTAGCAAATATGCTCTTTAAGAAAGTACTTTGATTAATGAAGAGTAAATTACTCTTTTAATTTCTTAAAATTATGATAATTTGATTTTATGGATTTTTTATTTTATGTTTTTAAAAACAGATTTCAGTTTTTTAGTTTTAAAAATTTTTAAAATTGTTTTATAACAATTTTTATCAAAACAGATTTTTAAAAATTGTTTTTTAAAAATAAAAAAAAATAATAAAATGGAAATTATTAATAATAACTATATTAATTTTTTTATCATTATAAAATCATTAAAATTATTTTTAAATTTAATTATTATAATTATTTATATAATTAAAAAAAAAATTTCAAAAATATAATTACTATCTTTAAACTTTTTTTAAAAATAATTTCTAAAACTATTTTTAAAAATTAAAAAATAATATAAAATTAAACAATCCCTTACTCTCCTAAATTTAAAAATTTGAACAGACAGTATAACATTTTTTTTCTTAAATTACAGTCCTAAAAATATTAATTTTAGATTAGGAGAAGAAAAAAAAAATCCAAAATATATGAGATGAGTTGCAGATGTGAAACAAGAAGCAAAGAGGAGGGCTTACTGAAGTGAGTTTTGTAGAGCAGGAAGAAGGAGATGGGGATGGTTATCGCAGCACCAGAGTTTGGAAGTGATGAAAAGGTCGTCTCTGGAGGCGATGAGACCAAGTTGAAGTGCTTCGGCGATGGCTTCTCCCAGCGCCTGCTCTGACCCGTATTGTGCTGCTGTGTCGAAGTGTCTGTAACCCATTTTTATAGCCTCGATCACGGCAGATTTCACCACCTCCACATCGTTATGCTCTGCAGCAGTGCCCAGCCCTATCACTGGCATGCTTATTGGCTTCGATTTGGACGATGGTTGTCGTATCACAACACTGGGAACAGTTGTTGCAGACATTATTCTAGGGTAACTCTCGTGTCTGACTATGTTTATCAACGGTGGAAATGGAAAACAGATTTCACAAAATTTCGATAAAAAATTTGAGTGGAGGACACCGATCCTAAAAAATATGATGTTTGGACACATTTAACAAGAAATGACATCTCATTGAAAATTTTAAAATGTTTCTAATATAATTATATAAATAAATTAGAAACGTGACTCATTTACCTAATCAAATGAATCAAGAAACTTGGGAAATGAAGTCACATTTGGGGCATCACCAAGCATTTTTAATAAGTTGTTTGGCCCTTAAAAGAGTGAAATAAGTATTCTACCACAATAAATCTTAAATAACTCTAAACAATTCAATATTTTATATATTCTTTTTATATATGATTTTAATATTTTATATTAAAATTAAATAAATATATTCATTAAATAAATAATTATTTTAGTTAATAATTCAGTGTCATATTTTAATATAAAAATAATATAAAATACATAATATTTAAATAAATATAATAAAAATTAAATAACACTAGGAAATATATTACATAAAATTAATTTGTATCATTCTCTTCACCTAATTTTTGTCAAATATGTTTTATAAGATCTACTTGAAGTTGGTGATAAATATTTTTATTTTAAACAGTTACTCTCCTTTAAAAGTATGTATATTTAAAATTAGGATGTGTGCTTAAAGATATATCAATAGTCGATATGTCATTTTTCCTAATATTATAATCAACATGATTTTAATAAGTGTGTTGTTTGTCTTCAACATTCATATTATGTAATATGATACATGTATAAATTATGTTTTTCAATGTATGAGCATCCAAATATGTGTTGCATCACGTATAATTGTAAATTGAGATTGAAAAACTGCAAAGGCATGTTCAACATCATTTCTTTCTGACTCTTATTGTTGAGTAAATAATTTTATCTTTTATCCTTATGACATTGAAATAGTTTTTACAAATGTGGCAAAATCTGAATAAATATTATTCACTAAGTAATATCTCATATCATATTGCATTTCATTCACAGTATAGTACACCGTAGGTGCAAAATTTAACATAACTTCATTAAACACATTAGATACATTTAACACAGTAATATCATTATTTGTCCCTACGGTACCAAAAAATACATGTCAAATCCATAAGTCTTGTGATGCCACAGTTGCGAGAATGATTGTCGGGTTAACACGATCACCTCGACAAAATTGACATTTCCCTGCAACTGGACAATTTCTCCATTCTCAATGCATGCAATCAATTGATCCTAACATACTTGGAAAACCATGTCTCACTCTCATTTGTAGTAGTCGATCGATGTCTTCATTGTTAAACATTCTTAAATACTCATTTTCAAATACTACACAAATGTCTGATACAAATTATTGCAAGCATTTTATTATAATGTTTTCACCTATTCGAATATATTCATCCACATTACGAGCATGTGAGTCATAAACCAATATGCGAATAACAACAATGCTCTTTTACAAAGGTGACAAACCTCTTCTTCGTATTGCATCTAACCTCAGTGTAAAGTAATCATCGTGATTGCCAAGGATTTCCACAATTCTGACAAAAACCTCCCTTTACATGGAACCTTCTTCGAAGTTGAGATTCCATATATATTGGATTTTCAGCAAAATAGTCATTGAACAATCGATGATGACATTTTTCACAATTTCGATGAACTAACTTCTCTTCTTTGTCTGTCACCATCATTATTGTGGACGTGTTGCTAGTACTTAAGTAGTAGTCTCATGATTCCTTTATCATTGTTATCTTTGAGTTCTTCATTTATGACTGGATCCAACAATGTGTCTAAATCAATGTTTTTAAATTTCACTGTATGAATAATTGAAGTGTTTGAAAACAAAGAATAATATTGTAATATTATAAGATGTGAGACATTGTTATATGCTTTGATTTGCTCCCAATATTGGGTTAATTACTGATAAACTCCAACAATTGGATCCTCGGACAAATTCAACCATGATCAAATTTGAATCATATCATCTGGTATTGAGAATGCCCAGAAATACTTGTTGAATTATTGACAAGCGTACCAAAATTATCAATTGCAGTATAGTATTTCGATTAAATAAAAGTCGATCCCACGAGGAACAGTTTCAATGGAAATTCGCAATTATGCTTACTAAGTATTTTAAAGCAGATTGGGTTTTGCAAATAAGAGTTGAATTGAAATTAAATGACAAAGAACTGTAAATTGTTGAGAAAATATCAATTAAAGGTACTTAGGATTAACTTCCTTCCTTATCTCTCTTTTGTAATGGTTATGTCAATTAAGAACGTCAATTAACCTAACAATGTTGATGTCACCTAATCAAATCATCCATGTTGATTCCTCACACATGAAATTCATAAGAAAACCTAATAAATGTTGATTTCTCACACAATTAACAGATTTTCTAGCATTAGGGTTAGGGTGTTAAGCAATTGATACATTCATTCCATTCCTGGAAATTAATGTAACAAATATTCTTACCGTGATCTAGGATTCAAGATATATTTTCCAATCATACCTCAAACAATCAAGAATAAATCATTCCAAAGCATAAAAGATAAAAATAACAACATCAAAACATAGATTAAGATATCAAAATATCACCATGATACAAAAGAGTTCAAACAAAGTGCACCGAATCCTAAGAGAATGAAGTTAGTCACTCATGTTGGCCATTACAATGCTCCAATTGATGAAGAAGTGAATAATTGATGAAGATTAGACAAAACCTTAACAGTAGTCGTGTCTCCTCTCCTCCAAGACTGCTTGCTTTTCTCAAAACACAACTTATCTTTTTATAAGAGAATTTGGACCGGGTCTCGCATCATTCATTCGCTTAAGCGCTCTTCTTTCTTTCAATTTTACTCCAATTATGCTGACAATTATGCTCCTTACTCTTGTATCAAGGTATTCTCGAATTCATCCTATATTGGGAGAAAAATATATTAGAATTAACATAAGTTAATTGGTTTCATAACAATTCAAGGCATAATTATATCAACTTTTTACCACTTAATACTACACGAGGTTTCCTTTAAGACATTTTCACTACTTCCATCAAGTTGGATTTATCGAGTTCGATCGGGGAAGGAGGTTCTATGTTAGATAAAGGAGGAATGTTACTTATATTTAATGTCATTGGAGGTGGTGGATACATAAAAAATGAATAATTTTGCAATAAATTATAATAATACTAGTAATTAAATTGATTGAGATCCATAATTAGAGAAGAAGAAAAATGGTGAAACAAAGGATATGTAAATTTTTTGTACCATTGATGGAGGTTTTATAGAGGAAAAAAATGATTATTCAACAGTAAAAAAATTGAACAATGCAGGTAAACGACTATTTTTTTCTTAATAACGGATACATCTAACAACCAATTTTTTTTCTTTTCCTAATCTAAAGATCCCATCTTATTTTTCAGGCTTCAACTCAATTCGTGTTCTCCATCTCCTTTCTCCTCCCTCACCTCTCCTTTCTCCATTTATGTGTTCCCCATCTCCTTTCTTCTCCCTCATGTTTCCTTTCTCCATTTCAATTTCAACTCACTCAGATCTCCCTTCCCCTTTTTGCTCTGTCTCTTCCCCTTGCGTCCGCATTCGCATCTACGCTCGCTTCCGCCTCCACCTTCCACTGAACCAACACTATGACTATTGTTTGCTTCAATAACTCTTGAACCATCATAGATAGCAAAAGACATGTCACTCCCGCTCAGCGAATCAATCAAAAGTTCCAAACCAGAGAAATCAAAAGAAAAAAGAGGCAGAGTGAAAGAAAAGGCGGATTTTACATTTGCGTTTGCTGCAAGTGGTGCAATTTTTGTCTCTAATTTTATATATTTTCATTTTGATTTTGAAACTGATTATGGTTAATTGATGATTATTGTTGTTGATGGTTGATAATTTTGTAATTTTTAGTTGATGATGTTTTAGATTGATGAATGATGATTTTGTTATGTTTGACATTAAAATATTAATATTTTATTTGAAGAAATCGTTGCTTCACGAAGGACTTCTGTGTTGATCTGGAGCAATTCTACATGCCATGACATCTTCTATAATGGAACAATTACTTCAAGAAACTTGGAAATTTTTTGAAACTTTTTCCATTGGAGATGCTCTTATTATTGTATATTCATCAGGAATCTAAGAATGAAAAACTTGATATCATTAAAATGATAGTAAAAAACTACGTCCCATATTTCATAATATATGCATGAATAAGTGCTTTACAAATAATGTTTTCAAAACCTTTACAATTTAACCAGTAATAATTTGAATTGAACATAACTAATTCATTCTAGAAATTAGGAACCCATTTAAGAGTGTGGGATCTTTTTGGGAGTTAAGGGGAACCATGACCCCCTAAACTTTTATAATTTTCATATGTATTTATGATTTTAGCCCCCCAAACTTAACGATCATTAAATATATATTTTTGTATATTTACAATTTTGATCTCATATTTTGATTTTCTTTCACCCTTTTATATTTATTTATTATTTATTACTAATATATTATTTGACCCCTTCAAAATCAATAGCCAAGATCTGTCACTGTCACTTAAGCTTACTTAATTTTTTGATATAGAATAAGGAAACTTGTTTAATCCTTGACTTTGGATTGAAGATGGGATATAAGAAAAAAATAAAAGTAAAAATGAGAATTAAAATGGGGTTATATGGATTAAGTGTTGGATAATAATTTAACAATTAATAATAATTTATTCTGTTAAGATATTAGGTCAACTAACTTATTAGTTATCTCGTTATAAATACAATATCTATGTACAATTTAATAGAAAGTGTAGTTAAGCATACTAGTAATAATATTTCAATTACTTTCATTTTTCTAGTAACACCTCTCACGATACTATGTCCAAGATCTTTTTTCGCTAACAATGATATCAAAGCTTCAATATTTGGGAAAATTAATGAAGATGGTAAGAAATGGATTACAAGACAACAT